CAGTGCCAGTGCTGAGCAGGGACCAGATTCTGGATCTATCCTACCGCAGAGCAGCCACGACTTTCGCCTCCCCCCAAACAGTGGCTATTGAATGTTGACTTTGGGTGGGTCCATCGGAATAGCTTAGATATTGGCCACAAAGTGTCGTGAGAACCAAATAAAAGCTCCAGCTGAATCCTGATCTTTCCGGATTTTTCTGAGGGGTTTACGCTAAGCTGGGCTGACAGCTCCCGGAGGAGAGAAGATTCCCTGCACCCCAAGATTCTCCATCATCCTCTGGGTCACCGCCACCCGAGGTTTTCCAGGGTTCTCACAAAAGCAAAACAGACTTCTGCACGTGTCCTCCATGCCTCGAGAACGGATTGGCTCCCGAGGGATGCCAGTGTAAGGCGGGGGCTCTGTGGGCAGGGCCGGGAAGGACGGACGGGCCAGACCTGCTCATCTGCCTCCCGTTCAGTCTCGGGTCAGCCATCGCTTCTCCACCACAAGGACGGCAAGCGCATGGAGTCTGTCCCCGGGAGAGCAGGTCAGCCTACCAGGGGAGGGCGGGAGGGAGGCTGGGATGGGGTCCCAGAGCCGTCCTCGGGGGGAATGAGGGTCTTCTGCCTCATAAGGGGTGGAGGTGCCTGTTTTGTGGGTGAGAGGAAGAAGCAGTTTGTCCCCTTTGGCTTGGTCAAAGGACTCGAACGTTCTCTGGCTGGTGAGTGCCGCCTACCTTGGCAGGACGGGCGTGATGACGGATAAAAGAAGGCCCTGATGTGGGCTCTTATCTCTACCTGGTTCTCCGGTGAAAGAAGGGGAAGGAGGGTTCTTCTAAGTGCAGCTGCCTCTACCGGTGGGGTCAGGACACAGCCAGACCTTTCCAGTGGAGCGCGGGGCTGGGCTCTTCACTGAGCTGTCACTTAGCTGAGGCCTGGTAGCCGTGCACCTCACCCGTCATGTTTCTGGGTTTATACTGATTTTTCTAAGCTCTCCCTTACTCACCCCTCCCATTCTGGAGCCCTGCGTGTGCACGTGTGTGTGCTTTCTCCTTCCCTCTGCTGCAGGCGAGGGAAGACTGAGCCCTGAGCTATGAGGAGGCACGGGCAGGTCCCGCAGGAGGACCCCCGACTCAGATGCTCAGGGCTCCTGTGACCTTGGGTTCCCTCTGAAATGGCTGCAGGGTTAGAGAAGACGTTTGAGAGTTTAAACTATGCTGAGAGATCTCTGGGCTAAGTTTCCTTCACTGGCAGGACTAGCCCCTGTTTAAATCGGGACTGAGCTGCAAACCCCCAGAAGACATTTGGGGTTTCACCAGAAGCCGCGTCGGTGCGCAAAGAACGGCCTGGAGTGGCTGCTGCTCAGTTTCGCCACTCACGCCCGACCCCAGCGTGGCCAGGGGTCCCGGGAGCCGGCCCGGTTGGTTGGGGTGTAGAAAGCCCCCAAGAGACCCCCGTGTTCAGCTGCCCCGGCGAGACAGCGGGTAGCATGAGCTGACCTGACTGTGTTCACCACGATGGGGCGGGAGTCTACGAAAAGTCCGGTGTTCTCAGACCTGCCACGGGAGTCCTGCGGAGCTGGGGGCCAGATGGGAAATGCAACGGACCCAGGGCTCACCGCGCAGTGAGGAGTGCGGCCTGGGCTCCTGCTTTTTCCCACCTCAGCATGGTCCCCCCCACAACCCCGCCTCAGCTGAGCTTTGTCTATGCAAGTCCTAGGGAGTTCTGGGTTCTTTCTTCAGCTCTGCGGACGTCCGCGGTTTCTTTCTCTCGAGATGAACAGCTAGTGGGGCACGTCCTTGAGACCCTCCCCCTGGTTCTGTGATGGGGGCTGGGGGAGTCACTGGGTCCCGCGCCCCCTGTACCAGCCCATCGGTCTCAGGACTCATTTACTATCTTTCAGAGTGTTTGACGGAAAGTGTTTACCTTTCCACCTTTCCTCATTTTGTGGCTGTTTATTACTTATGTGTTTATTTACAATTCTGACGTACTTCGGGAGGAGCTGGGGCAGAGATTCTGAGTCTTGCTTCACTGGGTACCTCTATCATCTGGACTGATTTTATATGTGGAATTGGACCCAGAGTCTGAGCCGGACGCGGTGGGAGGCAGCTGTCCCCATGACAAATGTCACCGGTTCATCAAAGACACCTTCACGCATGTGGAGAAGTGCTCCTGGGGCGCAGGGCAACAGAGGGGTACATGGATACCGGAATGAGCGAGAGCAGGGGATGGAAAGGCAGAGGCCAGGAGGCAAGGTCAGGGGGCAAGGTCAGGGGCAAGGGTGGAGCTTGCTCGGGGGCTCCAGATGGCCAGGACACCTGCAGGCCCAGCTTGGACTACAGAAAGCAGGCCGGCTCCCCAGGAGACCTCCCCGCCGCCCACCCTCCTCTGCACGTTGGCAGGGAGGGCCCAGAGGGAAGCAGGGTGTGGTTACCAGCAGCTCTGGGAACTTTTCGTTAAAAAAAAAAAAACTTTTGTTAAAACATAATTCATGTACCACACAATTCACCGATTTAAGGGGTGCGATTTATGGCTTTTAGTAGATTCAGGGATGGGCAACCATCGCAGTCGGGTGGGCCCACGACGTGGTGGGTAGCTCTGCCATGGTTCACCACCCGGTTCCTTCTAGGAACCTGCTTCTAAGCCCTGAGGAAGTGTCTGTAGTTACTGAGCAAACCAGAGGTCAAAGATCTGTCAAGTGATTTCCTGGATCCGAGCTTGCCTTATTTTTTTTTTCCTCCTCCTTGCATTAGTCTTTGGGGCCTGAACTTTGAATTCTGGAGCAGCTCGGGGCTGGAGAGAGCAGGAAGCCCATCTTGGTGCTGGTTTGGCCGGCTGTTCCCGCCCGGCCCGATCCTGCCCTGCAGCCTACAGGGAAAGGAACGGGCGGCGGCGGAGCCACAGCTGGCCACGGAGGGGGCTCCAGATCCCAATCCACCGTGAGGAGCTGCTGGGAACACGAGAGTTAGCATTTCTCAGTGAGCACTTTCTGTAGCCTGGGTTTCTCATACAGACTGGGGGGTGGGTGCGTTCGTGGAGATGAGATCTTCCCACCACCATTTTCCTGAATTTACACCGGTTGGTTTGCTCTGGCTTTCCAGCGTTTTTAGTAGACAGACCTCTTCCAGAGGCATTTGACTCCAGCCGCTCCAGCTTGTTATTCCAAAGGAAAAGAACCAAATCCCAGGAATTCAGGGATCTAAGAGAAACGTCCCCATCTGTGCCCAAGGACCTCACCACAGCACCGAGGGGGTTGGAGAAAAAGTAGAAACAGCCTAATGCTGGCCACAGGGGCATCGGCAGAAGTCAGCTGTGGCTTGTTCGTATCATTGAATCCAGCACGAGTTAAAAAAGGGAGAAAAGGTTGTAAGCGACTAAACCTCGGTGAGGAACACGTGGAGTGTAGAGCTGTGCCCAGCGTGACACTGTTTATAGAAAGTTGGAGTCAACAGGAAAGACACCATTTATGTTCAGCTGCTCCTCGCACAAGGAATCGTGTAAAAGTGGGCATCTGTTTGCAGACACACCAACACGTGGGACACGGCCTGGCAGCTCCCTCTGGGCACAGGCGAGGGCACGCTAACGATGCATTCCCTTAATGAGGAAACTTCTGCTGAGTCTGAATGATGGGCACACAGATATGTTGTCTGTTTGTGGGACTTTTTAAATAGCTTGAACTAGGGGTGTCTGTGTGGCTCAGTGGGTTAAGCCTCCCACTCTTGATTTCAGCTCAGGTCGTGATCTCAAGATTGCGACATCGAGCCCGGAGTCAGGGTCCGTGCTGGGCTTTCTCTCGATGTCTTAAACAAAAACAAAACAAAACAAACAAGAAAAATACACTCGAACCAGCCCAGGATTTAAAAGCATTTTAGAACTGTTCAGATGGAAAATGTTCCAATGACCCTGTGCCAGGACCAGGAGGGAAGAGAGAGACTTAGCCAGGGGCTCGTTGCAAAGCTGGAGGCACCCGGGTGAGCTCCGTGGGCAGGAGGCTGGGTGGTGCCCTCCCGGGTGCTCCCAACAGAAGGTCTTAGATTTTAGGTCAGTTGCATCAACACCCCCTGCCCCAGAGCAGCTGGTCACTTGGAGGGTGAGCTGCTCCATGATCTCTACCCAGACAGACCAAGAGCCTGTGGCCCCTGCCAGAGAGTCCACCCAGGCCCAAGGCAGCTGAGCCCCTTCAGAGACCCACCAGCCGAGAGGTGGCGGCCCGTATTGCTTACTCGGAGTCCTTGGTTTTTGTTCTAAATTGTTTTCTAGTACACTCTTGCCAAGTGTCACTCCCTAGCACATGCCCTGAGCGTCTCGGGACAGGTGTCCTGGGGTCACGTCAAATAAAAGCAGTGGGCTTTCTGGGCACACACGCCTCCCCCCAGCCCGCTTCCCATCTGTTCCCCGCATGCCCTCACCATGGCCTGTGGGCGCCTCCTCTGGTTGCCGGGAGGGGGGGTGCGCTGGATGGGCCATCCAAACCCCCACGTTTGTTCCAGGCAGTGTCCCTGAAGCTTCTGCCGTCCTCAGCCCTAAGGAGCCGTCTTAGACATTTCCTCCCTTGCCGTGCTCCGTGAGATCGTCATATCACAGGTGCGCTGAATGTTTGTGCACAGCTGAGCTTTGTACGTGTAAGGGTAAGAGTTTCGGGGGGCTCTGTCGCCCCCGTTGAGAATGCTTGTTCTGGACCAAGCTTGTAAATCAGCTCCCCAGGGCCAAGGGCAGTTTCCCAGGTTTCAAAGGCAAAGTCAGTGTCCCGATGCCCAGAGAAACCAGTTCTTCTCCGGAGAGAGGAACTGATGTGAAATCAGCAAGAGGGAGGGCTAATCAGCGCCCCGGCCCAGGTCACTGGGCACCAGGGCCAGGGCAGCGTCACCGTCCTCTCCAGACAGGTCACTTCCCTCCCTGCCCGCCCGTGACCTGGGGTGAGGGGGTTGGACTGGAAAGGCCCCCACGGGCCCGGAGGCTGTGTCAACTGGGTCCAGCCGTCCACGGCCGCCCTCTCCTTCCAGCGTTTCTGGCTTCGGGGCCATGGCGGAGCTGCGCCAGACGGAGTCCACGCTGACCGCGCTGGACGAGGACGCGCTGTGGGAGCTGCTGGAGAGCCACCGCCACAAGATTGTGCGTAGCATCTGCCCCAGCCGCCTCACCCCCTACCTGCACCAGGCCAAGGTGCTGGACCAGCTGGACGAGGAGGAGGTGCTCCACGGCCCCAGGTTCACCAACACCGTCATGAGAGTCGGTGAGGACCCCCGGGCGCACACCGCCTCCTCGGCCCCTCCCCACCACGGCAGCTCCACACGGCTGTGCCACAAAGCCTGGGGCCCGGCAGGGAGTGCAGGACTTTAAGGACCCACGTTCCAGGCATGGGGACTCTGTAGGGCCTTCCCAGAGCTGCCGTAACAGGCGACCAGCCCGGGGTGGCTTGGACCAACAGAGACATATTGGCTCATAGTTTGGGATCCAGGTGTGGGCTTGAGGGGGATGTCCCTGCCTGTGCCTTCCTGGTGGCCCGAGCTGGCCCTCAGCTTGTGGCCACATCCCTCCAGGGTCTGCCTCTGTCCTCACGTGGTCTTCTCTTTGTCTCCTTTTCTGTCTCATGGGTGCACTTGTTATTGGATTCGGTGGATTCAGGACCCCCCACCCCGATAATCCAGGTGATCTCTTCCGCAAAGACCCTTTTCCAGATTAGCTGCCATTGGCAGGTTCCAGATGAAGGTTCCTTTGTTGGGGGGGGCACAATTCAACCCACTCCAGATGTCTTCGGAGCCAATTCTGAGAGTCTGACTAGCTATGTTCATTCATTGAAAACCAAGGAAGCTGATAGCCTCACTCTGTCAGAATTTTAGGAGACTGGATGAGACCATTTATAAGACACTCACCTCCAAGCCGCGGTTATAGAAAGCAGGCAGTAAAGTGGTCGCTATGAACATGATTCTGTTTCTGCCTGATGTTTAGGAGCCTTAGATCCAGGAGAAAGGAATCCAAGCCACCAAGCTGGGCTGAGAGCCATGGGACCGGGAGGCGGGCTCGCTGGGACTCGGGCCCTGGGGCACTGTCCTTTGCTTCTTTAGTCCCATGAGATTTGTACAGTGTCCGCATATGTCTGCTAACACGGCTGGGAGGTCTTTCGAGCAAAGGTCACCTTTTTCCTTCTTTTATGAACAACTCTTGGCACTTGGGTTATAGTAGCTTCTCAAGGACTATGAGCCTGGCCCTTCTGGGGACTGGCTGCCGACACGTCCCTTAAAGGACCGAGAAGAGCGATGAGGGCACCCGCCCCCAGGGATCCTGGAAAACTGCTGTCACCTCCTGATCCCTAGATGTGCGAGGATTTCCTCCCCCTCCTCATCCTGCATCCCAAGGGAAACCCACCCAGAACCTCACGACCTGACACCATCCTCTCACCCAAGGGCACTTGCTGGATTTGCTGAAGACGCAAGGGAAGAACGGAGCCATTGCCTTCCTGGAGAGCCTGAAGTTCCACAACCCGGACATCTACACCCTGGTCACTGGGCTGCAGCCCAAGGTGGACTTCAGCAACTTCAGTGGTGAGGGCTGGGTCATGGGGCTGGGGTCCTGGGCACAGGCTTCTTTGGAGCCTCTGGGTCCCAGTGTGTGCATGCTCTTGCTGCTCCCGCTAACCCCCCAGCGCTCTGGGGGTGATGACACCCCCACTAACCATGTGTGGGTGGCAGGAGAAGGAACCCGTGGCCTCTGGATCTAAAAGGAAAGATCTTGGGGCGCCCGGGTGGCTCAGTTGCTTAAGCATCTGCTTTCGGTTCAAGTCATGGTCTTAGGGTCCTGGGATCGACTTCTGCATCAGGATCCCATTCAGTGAGGAGTCTGCTTCTCCCTCTCCCCACTGCTCTCTCTCTCTCTCTCTAATAAAATAAATAAAATCTTAAAAAGAAAAGGAAAGGAAAGATCTGTCCCTACTTCTGCGGTAGCAACGGGAACTCCGCTTGGGGCAGAGAGTCTGTGCCCGGGAGATGCAGGGAGAGGGCAAGTATGGCCTTTCCCTGGAAACGCTCCTGAGATGGCCTTAGCCTCGGCCGTGTACTTATGTGGAGGGGACAGCCAGGTCCTGGGGCGGCTTCTGCTGGGAGAGGCCCCTGCCGGAGGGGAGGAGGAGTGGAGCCGGCAGCCTTCCGCACCTCCACTCAGTCGGAAGAGCGGAGATCGAGCTGACCTGAAGGGAAATACAGCCATTTCTGTTCACTGAGTGATTTCAGGCTTCCGTGAAGGAGCTATAGAAAGACTTTGGTGTGCAAAGGGCAGGACCAGCGTCACTCAAAACTGGACGGGAAGCCTTTCTGCCTGTTTGGTATTGTAGACCGTGGTGACGTTAGTTGGAGTTCTGCTGTACGGATTTCTATCCCTTGTTCTTGTTATGTCTCTCGTAGGGTGGCATGGAGAAGATCTGGCAGGAGCACGCCTTGGCTGATGAGGGGGAGCTGGGTCTACACAGCAGGGTCCCCTGGGGAGGCTCAAGGGGGTAATCCTGGTTCCACAGTCACCAGTCATGCTATTTATATAACCAAAACTGAGCCCGGTTGAGCCCGGAAGTTTCTTTTTTTTTTTTTTTTAAGATTTTATTTATTTATTTGACAGAGAGATCACAAGCAGGCAGAGAGAGAGGAGGAAGCAGGCTCCCTGATGAGCAGAGAGCCCGATGGGGGACTCGATCCCAGGACCCTGAGACCGTGACCTGAGCTAAAAGCAGAGGCTTAACCCACTGAGCCACCCAGGTGCCCCAAGCCCGGAAGTTTCTAAGGAGACCCACAGATTAGGGTCGGGGGACTCCTGCCTGAGGGTCTGGGCAGGTAGCAAAGCCCCTGGTGGCCGAGGAGGGAGGTGCCCTGGCCCACCCGCCCCTTGTCTGCAGGGCTCATGGAGACGTCCAAGCTGACTGAGTGCCTGGCCGGGGCCATCAGCAGCCTGCAGGAGGAGCTGAGCCAGGAGAAGGGGCAGAAGGAGGCCCTGCTGCGGCGTTGCCAGCAGCTCCAGGAGCACCTGGGCCAGGCCGAGGCCCGCGTCCAGAGCCTGGGCCAGATGGAGGCCGACCACGATCGCATGAAGCGCGAGGTCAGCGCCCACTTCCACTCCCTGCTGAGCAGAGAGCCCGATGCAGGGCTCGATCCCAGGACCCTGGGACCATGACCTGAGCCGAAGGCAGAGGCTTAACCCACTGAGCCACGCAGGCGCCCCAGGGCCCTGGATTCTTGGAGAGAGCAAGATCGGGGCCCTGGGGGTGCTCACTGCCCCTGGGGTGTCTTTGCTCCTTGGCCCTTCCAGCAGACAGAGCTAGGAAACGTGCACGTACACACACCCGTGCACAGACACGCACAGATATGCATACAGACTTACGTGTGCAAGGATGCATGTCCACAGACACATGCGTATCTTAGAAACTGTGAGGTCACACCCACCTCTAATTCCGGCCCGTCCCCAGGGTGTGTCCCTGCCTCCCTCATGCCATCTTTGGGCGCCCCTTCTTCCACAGTGAGAATCCCCCCACCCACACGAGCGCTCACCTGCTCCAGCCTATAGGCCACAGCAAACACCTCCGGCACCAAACAGAGCTGTCGAGAGGAGCCGAGGGTTTGTCGTTCACGAGCTGCTATGGCTGGCGGCTCTCCATCCCTCTGCCTCCCTCTCCCTCCCATCGCTGTGGCCCCAGTGTTTGAAATAAGGTTCATTTGCTCGGTTTATTTTCAGTTTTAGCCCCGCACCCAGCCCCATGCAGGTCCCAAGGAGTGAGTTAGTATACGGAGTCTAACGCGCTCTAACGCAGATGGCCCACAGCCGGAGCTGTGCGGTTGCTTATGGAAAATTTGCTATGGAGATGTCGGCAGGGAAAAAGCCCAAGTGAAAAGGTTTTTCCTTCTCCTCTTGATCCCAGAGGGAGTGCTGCCTCCACCCTGACACCCAGACTTTCTAGGTTTGTCTCTTGGGGAAAGTCCCCTCCCTACCAGAGGCACCACACCCTCCTGGGGGCGAGAGGCCAGGCCCTGGGTTCCAGGTCTGAGTTTCTCTTGGGGTGCCATCCTGCAGGGTGGCAGGGTGGAGGCCCCCAGGCCCTGGCCACGTAGCTTCCAGGGGCCACAGCCCTGGACACACCACCCATGGGGCCGGGGGTGGCCCATATTTGCTCGGGATTGCAAGTGCGTCTGTGTAGATCAGGCATCTCTGCTCCGTCTGACTCGATTTCCTTTCTTCTCACGTCCTGCTTTCCACGAATCCTGAGTCCCTTTGCCACGTACTCAGCAGAATGTGGGAAGGCAGGGAAGTCAGGGAACATGCTGGACGAGGCTCGCTCGCTGGTCACTCACCACCCACCGGCTGCTGGGACTTGAAGTTTCGAGAGAGGGATTTCCCGGGCTGATTTCCAGAGAGCTGATTTCCCAGGCTCCTTCCTCTGTTCCCGGGACCCCACCCCGTGATTCCATGGCTCACCTCATCTAAAAAATAAAGCTAGAAATGCCTTTCTCCCCCACAGGAGCTGGAACTGTTCACCAGGTAGAACTCCTTCATGGAGTTTGAAGTCCGGGGAGGGGCCCCCTGAGGGATGAAAAGCGTCCTCCCGGAGGACAGAGGCTGAGGGACGCACAGGCCCCCCTGGGCGGGTGGAGAACCAGCCTTTACGCTGCCCTCCCTCCGCCTCCTCCCGGCAGCTCTACCTGACCAAGCAGGAGCTGCAGCGCGAGAAGATGTCTTCCTGCCACGTGCGAGAATTGCGGGAGCGGTCCCCGCAGATGGCCGGGGACCTGGAGCCCGGGGACAAGGCGCTGAGCCGCCTGAAGGAGGAGAATGAGAATCTCCGGTCGCTGACGTTCAGCCTGGTGGGTCCCGCGCCTTTCCCTGGCAGCTGGCGGGGCTTCCCGCAGGCTGGGGCGGGGGCGGGGGTGGTTGGTTCTCACAGGTGGTCCCTGGAGGGGTGGCTGAGGCCGGGAGGCCATCCTGGGACACGCTACATGTCCCTTCCTGTGCCTGTCTGGCCTCGAGCGTGGGCAGGGTGAACAGCTACGGGGCTACCTAGCAAGCCCCCCACCCACCCCGGCCCAGCTGCTGGAGGGAATTAAGCTGATTGTAAATGGCGGGATCTGGGGGTGGGGAGGGTACCGTTGTGTTGTGCCTGCAGAATAGTCTGTCCCGTGCCGTCCCCCCCACGCGTGCTGGGGAAGGAAGGGGCGGAACTGGGTGACACCAACTTCTGGAATTATGCAAACTTCCGCCTCTCCTCGTGGATTCCTTTTGATCAATACCATGTCTGTTTATAGAGCTGTTCCGTCCAGTGAACAGATGTTCCCCGGGTGCGGGGTGGGCCTGGTCACGGGGCCTGGGCGGTGCCACCGTTCCTAAGCCCCTTCCTGAGAAGTGGGCAGGAGAGGGAATGGCCTGTCCCCTGGTGGGTCCTCCGTGGGAGACCGTGCTGGTGACCTTGTGGACAGAGCAGCCTGACGCGGCCCAGCCAGGCAGGGGGATGGCCCCCGCCGAGAGACTTCCAGTTTATTTTCTGTCCCCGGCCCAGAGAAACGAAGCAGAACACACATTTCCCATTTTGATTGCCGCCCCTGCGTCTTGTCCTGCCTATCCTCCGTGCGGGGATAAGCCTGAATCCACTCACGCGCCGGCCCCGGAGTTTCCTGCTGCTTATTCTCAGGGCAGAAAGACGGGGCGCTTCCCAGGGGCAGGACCTTCAGGAGGCCGGGGTCCCTGGGCCGACCTCTCGCTGTCCCAGGCGGAGAAGGACATCCTGGAGCAGAACCTGGACGAGGCCCTGGAGGCTGGTGGACCGCATCCACTCTCTGAGGGAGCAGGCCATGGTCGCTGAGAGGCAGCACAAGCAGGTGACCCCGGCGGGCGGCCGCGACAGCGCAGAGCAGGGGCGGGGAGGTCAGGCTCTCACGAACGTTCATCCCTTGTGAGAGCTTCATGGGGCGCGGACTCACGGCCCCGGGCTAGCGGTCGCATCTGGTCTGTGGGTGCTTAGGAAAGGACCGGGCCCAGGAGCAACAAAGCTCAGGCTGCTTTCCGGTGGGGCGGGCGTTACTTCGTGGCTGCGACAGGCAGGGGAGGGTCGGGAGGAAGGAGATGGTGGGAGAGAGAGAGGCAGCAATGAGACATGGTTCACGTCTTTTGGGACGTGGGACGGACAACACGTGCTTCTACCTGCCGCGTCCACGTGTGTTCTGATAACTGAGTCCCGGTGTAACCAGCAGGCCCACCCTGAGATTTAGCGCTTAAGGAACAAGCAGGAAGTCACCCATATCAGCTCCCGAACCACCCCCTCTGACCCCGACCACCCCCACCCCCCTGCACCCCCCACCCCACACCGCTGGCCTGCATGGGCTGTGTTTGTCCCCGGCCAGTAATGGGAAGAGAAGGAGCAGACCCTGCTCCAGTTCCAGAGGACGAAGGTGGACTGTGACATCTACAAGGAGAAGGTGAACGCCCTGCAGGGCCAGCTCCAGCAGCTGCAGAAGGAGCGAGACCAGGTGCCTGGCTGGGGAAGGGGCCCGGGGCACTGCCGAGCGGGGACAGGATGTGCCGTCCGGCCCAGGCTCCTCGAGGAGCTGGCTGGGGTCATGGGGCGCCCCATACCCACCCATGGCAGCTGGTTCCAGATTCCCAGCCCCCTCGGCACCATCCTCCCTCCTTTCCTGTCGGGCTGGCAGGCCTACTCCGCCCGGGACGCAGCCCAGATGGAGATTGCTCAGAACCTGGCGGAGAAGGACTCCTTCCGCAGGGAAGTGTTCGAGCTGACAGAGCAGGTCTGTCAACTGCGCCAGCAGCTCCGCAGGCCGGCCGAGTCCCCACAGAGGGTGAGTTCTTCCCTCCCACCCCACGGGGAGACCGGGCTGGGTGGGGGACGGGTCCTGGGCCACGTGCGCCCTGGCTGGGACATCAGGCCCTCTGGTTCTCATGGGCGAACCTTGTTACCGAATCACTGAAGACACAACTGGGTGAGTGGAGCCTATGTCTGCCTCTGGTGGTGGTCTAGACACGCCATGGGACAGGTAGCTGGGCGGAAGGTTCTGGAACCTGTAACATATGGTGTTCCACGAAGAAAGAGAGCCTATGAGACTGGGCCAGATGGCAGCCACTCGCTTTTGTAGCTGATGCGTTCCTGAGATGTTTGCAAGTCCGATGGCCAAGAGCTGGCTTCAGGCACGAAGGGAGCTATGTTCCCAAAGAGCTAAAACGAGTACAAAACCTCCAGTTATGGTCTGTCAGCAGCTCCGGCTCCAGGCACGGGGTCGGGGGGTGGTGAGACCCTGCAGAGGGGCCAGGACCTCCCTGAGGTCGAGCCACACCCTCCTCTTCCTGGTCGGGGAACCCCCACCTGATGCTTTTACCTCCAGAAATTAGTTTCCAAGGATTTGCATGCTACTTCTAAGAAGACAGTGTATTTCACATTGTAATACATGTGGTTATACAGGGTTCTTCAAAGTTGCAAAATCTTATGTTTATACAACCCGTAGAACTTAATCTTCCCCATGCCCACGAGCCATAGGTATTTTAAATTTTCTTCCTTCACCCTCCTCACATCTACCACGTCCCCCCCCAAAATATATATGTATGTATGTATTACATACATACATACATATACATGTATGTATTACATACATACATACACATACATGTAATCCATATACATGTACAAAATAGAAACATATGTATATTTATTTATATATAAGTATAAAAACGTGTGTATGTATCATATATACAAATTATATATATTTATGTATGTGTTAAAACAAGGTAGACAGCAAGATGCCAACTGCCCTGTCTTTGACTGTGGAGGACAGGAGAATTTTCTTCCCTCTCTGCTCAGTTCTGTTTGTCCCCAGTGTTCTGTGTGGTTAAGTCTGTGATACACGTCCTGGGCGATACTTGTATAATCTGTAAGAAGCGACATGTAATCTGCAACAGAGACCAAAGAGCATTCACCAGGCTGGTCGCTGTCCTCGGGGCTCGGCTCCTGCAGGGCTGGGGGTCTCATGCTCCGAGGAGGGTACATGAGTAGGGGAGGCTGCCTGGAGCGGGGAGCGGGGAGGTGGAGGCAGGAGGGAGGTGGGTTTGCTGGAAACCCCCAGGAGCATCCGAGAGGAAATTTGCCTGAACTGAGCAGCCGGGGGGGCCCGTCTCGGGCAGCCTGAGCCGGAAGCCAGAGCCAGGGAGCCGGGTCTGAGGGGGCAGCCACTCGTGCGCATGTTTGCCACCTGCCCGCGGGGTGACAGTGACGAAAGCAGCCCCAGCTCCACTGAGGTACTGCCGGCCAGTGCCTCCTCCTGTCCTGGGTCAAGCCAGCTGTGCCCTCCCCGGAGGGCTAGACTGGGGGGGGGCGTGGCTGGCAACGTGGCCACAGGCCTGTGTTCAGATGTGCACCGTGCACCTGACTCGCTCCACACGTGGCCCTCGCCAGCCGGGGCCTGGGCCTCTCTGGGCCTCAGTGGCTCTGCATGTGAAGTGGGACCATGCTACCCACCACGTAAATGTGTGTGTCTGCACTGAGCAACAGGGAATGTGGAAAGCAGCCGGCAGGGGCCTGGCACACAGGAGGGTCCAGCTAGTATGACCCAGCTCTGGGCTGTGTCCTTCTCAGTCCTCGGCCCTGAGAGTTAGGGAGCACAGTTTGTTACAGTTTTGCCCCTCACCCCGTGGAGCAGCAGGGAGGGGGTGAGCGGGGTCCCCCTGGGAGCGCTGTGCCGACCTCAGCCCTGTCCTCCTCCAGTCTCAGCTCTGCTCTGACCTCAACGCCACATGCGACCGTGAGCTGGTGGACAGCTTCCGCTCCAGCAGCCGCCTGCCTCCCAGTCCACAGTCCCTGTACAAGCGGGTGGCAGAGGACTTCCGGGAAGACCCCTGGTCTCTTAGGTAATGATAGGCCACGGGGTTCGGATGGCATGGGCCCCAGCAGCTTGCCGGCATATGGGCTGAGGGCAGGTCAGGGGGATCTGAGCAGGCAGCCAGCGGCACCGCCTGAGCTGTCGTCTTCCCATGCTTTCCAGTGGTTTCCTAGATATCCGGCAGGTGGACCGAGGACTCTCCCGGGGGGTGAAGGCAGTGGATGCCGACCTGGATTATGAGATTGTAGACAGAGCAGGTGAGTGCACCCCACCCGGGCCTCTGCAGCCATCCCCTCGCCCCTGGGCTGGGCCGGCTGAGCAGGAGGAGGAGGGAGAACAGGGGTCTCCAGGGAGGCCGGCGAGACAAGCCAGTGCCTCTCCAGAGGCTGGGCTGAGGAAGCGAGCTTCCCTGCTGCCCTGCCCTGGGCCTCTGGGAAATCCCAAGTACCTGGTCATTCCAGCCCATGCCCTGTTCACCGGGCGTCCTTTCTGTCTCTCACCTGGAAGCCAAGGGAGCTGTGCTCATCTTCCCATCCCGCTCAGCAGTAAAGGCTTAGACAGCTCCGGACACACGTTTCTTCTCTCGGTCCCTCCCTGCTCTGGTCTGGGGACACTCGGGTTTCCCAGTGACATCAGAAGGCAGCAGGATTTCGTACCCCCACCCCCACCCCAGAGGAGGCACCTGTTGGGAACATCTCTCCTCCCAGCGGTGGCACCTGAGACCCACTTCTCCTGGGGCTCATTCCTCGTATTTGTGACTTGACCGACCTCCTCTCCTTCTCTACCACGGGCCCCACCCGGAAGCCTCTCCCCTTTTCTACCCTGCACACCTGCCCCCGGCCGTGGGCCTGGGGCACCGGAGGCGCTTAGCACCCGGTCCGAATTCCCCGCGGTGGCCACCGGGGGGAGCACAGGCTTCGTGCGGTTCAGAGCGGCCGCCCCTGGGGCAGGCGGGGTCCGGGCTCCCCGCCGGCCACGAGGCCAGAATCCCCGCTGAGCGGGAAGGTTGGCGTCTCTGGAACCGCAGTCCGAGGGCGACCGCCGGGGCGTCTGCGTCCTGGATACGCCGCTCCTTGTGTCCCTCTGCCGCAGCTCCGGGTAGCGTCCTGGTTCCCCCATGCAGTGGCGTCCGCCAGTCCGGAAGGCCTGTTTTCCTGGGACTCCGGGTGGGACTCGGTGTGACCGGGGCAGTCCCGCCGGTGCGCTCGGTCCCGCCGGTGCGCTCGGTCCCGCCGGTGCGCTCGGTCCCGGCGTGAGCTCGGCGCAAGGAGCCGGCAGAAGTGCGCCCAGTTATGCCGGGTTTGATACTTTCACGTTTTGTTCTAAGCACCCAGCGCTCGTCACAAGCCACCCTCAGTCCCCGTCCCCTGTGTCCCCCACCCCCGCACCCAGAGCGGACATTTAATGGAGCCAGAAATCAAGACCCGAGGTGCCCTGTCCTGTAAATGTGGGGGAGCCACTCAGCTGTCGCGTGAGGACACACTAGGCCAAACCCCGCTCCTGTCCAGGGGAAGATGACGTTAGGGTTCTCAGCAGTGAGGAAAGGGAGAGGCGGGGAGGTCCGGCCTCAGCAGAAGGAGACAGGCCCGCGGGGTGCGCCCAGGGCTGGGATGTGGGACCAGGTTGCCCCAGTAAGCAAAGCTCCGATGGGGGGGGCAGAGCCCAGGGGCGGGCCTGGCCTGTGTCTGAGCCCGGCCCTTCTGTGCAGACCTTCCTGAGTGTGAGAGCAGCGCTCAGCCCTGCGCAGGGGGTCTCACCACCTCATCCAGGTGAGCGGTGGGAGTGGCCAGGGCCGGCAGGTGGGAGGGCAGAGTGAAGGCTGTGTCCTAACACCACTGGGAGGTGACAGCCCCTCCGAGGATGAGGTCATGGCTGTGTGTGTGTGTGTGTGTGTGTGTGTGTGTGTGAGAGAGAGAGAGAGAGAGAGAGAGAGAGAGAGAGAATTCAGAACGCTGGGGCCAGCGGCGTTGGGGCCTGGCCCGACCTCCCCCGCTCCCGTGGCTGGTGGGCCCTGTCACCTCCCGTCCTGCAGCAGCGTCCCAGTGCGGAGGAGGCCGGCACGCAAGATCCTGAGCCAGGTCACCGTGCTGGCCTTCCAGGGGGACGCGTTGCTGGAGCAGATAAGCATCATTGGTGGCAACCACACGGGCATCTTCATTCACCGGGTCACCCCTGGATCGCCGGCGGACGAGATGGCCTTGCGCCCGGGCACCCAGATCATGATGGTGAGTGTGTCCCCTGCCCTGCGGGCACCCCCCCGCTGCCTCCTCTTGGGGCTGGGTCAGAAGCTGCAGCTCTGCCTTGACAAGGACGTGTTGTCTGCGGGCTGAGGTCACACGCACTTAGAAGCTAGCCCCAGCTGACTCCCACAGCAGCCCTGCCCCGTCTGGATCCCCCACGTTCTCAAACTGGGGTGGGTGAGCCCGAGAGCTGCTGTGGGGCTGGACCACCGGCCATCGGAGAAGGCTTCTGGCTGCCACGGCACCAACCCAGGATCTTTTGATACAGCTATAGCCCTGTTTTTTCTTTCTGGGCCGACCATGCCGTGTGTATGTAGTAAAACACACAGCCATCACGCACACTTCACCGCCTTGTTGGGGGCATTTAAAAAAATTCTTTATTGGGAAATATTGGCTAAACTGCAAAACCCATAAATACACTGCTTGACTAATGATTATCAAGTGAATGTGTGAGCAGGGAGGTGACTTCAATGTGGCCCGAAAGCAGAGAACAGTGTTCCTGAGGAGGAGCCTGGGCTGCAGCAGGGATGCGTGGGGTGGAGACGAGTGCTGAGAAGGGTGGGCGGCAGGCACCTTTGCTCCCGGGCCCTAGGGCCCCCCGCTTCTCCCTAACCACTAACAGACTATGTTGTGGCTAAAGCAGCTTTTATGATGTCTGGGGAGACAGTCCTGGTATCTTAATATATTTTATTATTATTTATTTACTTTAAAGTTTTTAATTCCAGCTAGTGAACATACAGAGTTATCTTGGTCTCCAGTGCACAACAGAGCAGCTCAACACTTCCCGTAATGACCCCAAGTCCCAGATCCCCATCGCCGTTTCATCCAACCCCCACCACCTCCCCTCTGTAGCGATCAGTGTGTTCTCTACAGTTAAGGGTTGGTTTCACTCTCTCTCTCCTTTTTGCCCTTTGCTCCTCTGTGTTGTTTCTTAAATTCCACATATGAGTGAGATCATGTAATTGTCTTTCTCTGAGTGACTTATTTGACTCAGCATCATACCCTCTAGTTCCAGCCACATTGTTGCAAATGGCAAGATTTCATTCTTTTTGATGGCTGCATAGTATTGTGTGTGTGTGTGTGTGTGTGTGTGTGTGTGTGTGTGTGTGTGTGTGTGT